GTTATTCAATCATGGGCATATCTTGAAGGGCATATGACGGTTCTTGAGAATGCAAATGCAGGAGATTTTGACAATGCAGTCAAGTGTAATATTTTAAAATCTATGATGGGTGGAAAATATGTTCCAGTATCAGCAAATAATAATCTTGAAGTAGGAAATCCAGCTATAAATTCTCCAGATATATTACGGGCTTGGATGAGAGCAAAATACCAACGGGAGACAGTTGGAAATCAGCAATCAGCTATACAAAGATTGACTCAAGAAAAATACCAACCTTATGATACTCCAGATACTTATGAAGCTAGAGTTCGGCCACTATTATTAGGAGTGGCAGACAACGACGTGCAAGTTATAGGATTCTTTAAAAGCCACTTAATGGGTGATTTTTACACTTGGATGAGAATAGCTAATCCAGCAGGCATTAATGCATTTTTCACTAAACTAAAAAACATGTGGCTGGAGCGCGCACCAAATTTGAATGGTCAAGTTTCTCAACAATCTTCCTATAACACCAAAATAATAGAAGCTCCTATAATTCCGCAATCGGTATTTCCTATACCTGATACACAAAAAATGATTGATGAGGCATTAGCGAAACAAAAATCCAATTATGATGCTGAGATAGAAAAATTGAGAAAGGAAGTTCAATCATCAAAAGCACAGAAAACACAGACACCAGTTCCACAAACCGTTGAACCAGTTAGACAACCAAGAGCCCCTCCATCAAATTTAATTACGAAAGAAGATTATGAAACTTATTATTTAGATAAATACTTAAATGATTTAGGTATATATAGTAAAGAAGATTTAGATTCAAATTATCCTAAAAAACCTTTTCAAAGATCTCGTCCACAGCAAAAAGATAACTCTACGAGATTAGAGGAGAAAGTAGATGAAATTGGGCATATGTTATCTCATCTTAATATAAACAATCAACCCAAAAAACCAATAGCCAAATCAAATCGAACACAACGATATTATCCTTTTCAACCAATAAATTATAACTTTTCAGCTAATAATGAAAATAGTGGGTATAATGAAGAAAATGATATATGGTATGATGATTCTGAAAAAAAAAACGAGTATCAGTAAATGAAAACTTATCTAGTAACTCTGCTAATCCTTCTTCTGATTTAGTGACTAACCACCCTGAAACATATGATCAGCTATTGTCTAAGCTTTCACCAGCAATGCGAAAAATGTGTCAATCTCATACCGTTCAGAAAGAAGAATCAAAATCAGATGAGTGGTTCTCATCTCTACAATACCTGAATGCTAGTATAAACAATTTATCTATTTCTGAATCTTTTTTAGATAATGGAAGTGAATTTGGGGCCTTAAATGATGCAACAATTAATGCCCTTGGATGGAAAGCTGACAAGCCATCTGACTTCGATATAAAAGGTAACTCTAAACATATCACCGAATCGTTGGGGTGGTTTACAGATGTGCCAGTCAGTATAAAGGATAAGGATGGTAAAACTGTTACAGCTACTGGAAATTTTACACGTATTGAAAATGGTGAACCTGAACCAATGTTATGTTTAGGTATGACATGGATTCGAAAAGTTCAAGGTATTCTTGACCCAAATAAAAACCAATTCCGAATGAAATTACATGGTAAGTCTTATATTATTCCAACATTCAGCAAGAGCCCATCTAGCTCGACTAATAAGGAAGACTTAAAAAAAAATGCGATGAACTTGAAAAGTGACTCATAAAGACTGAAGAGTGGCTTGATATGGCTTTAAAAGCAGGTAAAGCTCTTGCAGAAAGATGTTCTCAGCTTACTGAGACAAAGATGGGAGCATAGGAGCTAATCTTTCGGTGTCTTTCATTAATTTTTCAAGATCGTTTTTCCTTCTAGATATATTATTGCTTTGCAGGCCTGTAGAGGGCGTCTCTTTGAGACATGGAACTTTGTTCCTATCAGAAGAGACACTTTTTTTTACTGCACGTGAGGAATTAGAATTTTGAGGAAGCTGAGCTTCGAGTCTTTGACTCGTCTTTGGTCGTGTTATCTCTGCTGATTTATCTAGTGAAACTTTAGAGTAAATCATATCATTTGTATTAGATGAATTATTATCAGAGGTAGACACATCATGGCTGGATATACTAGACTGTACTTGTACACTTTGTGCATTATGCAAAATATTTAAATTTTGATTAGAGTCATCATCATCATCGTGGGGTATAGGTTGATCCCAGAGAACTCTATTAGCTTCTTCCCCCCTCCAAATCTGATAAATATGTTTTGTTGATGTTTTATACTTACCCATCAAGTCATTTAAAATTTTATATCTTGGTTTTATATCACGACATTGCATAATATAAGAATAATCTTCCCAAGAAAATAGGTGTGCATCAGATCGTATGCGTACTCTAGGCATTGCAGTAAATGTAAATATAAGATGTTTATATCTAACAAAAAATATAAAATATATCGAAATATTAAAATATATTGGAAAGATAGAATATACAGAATAATATTATTCATTTTTCTATATAACAGATAGTATATTCGATCTAATACATCATAACAGATATGTATATTCCATCTAATACGTATATTCTATATAATATATTACATTCAAAATACAAATATATTAATTTTTTAGATATCTATAAGAATTGGATAATATGCCTCGAATCCATACATTATCAGATATAGGTGAATGCAAAAAACTTGGAGACATACCATCAAACCGATATCCGTCTAGTCGAACGGAACTTGAAAACCAGCTTGTTTGTGCAAATCGAGATCGAGAAATTGCTATAGAGTGTGGCAATCGACTTGCTAATAAATGCTCTATCTTGGATAAAGACAATAAGCACATACAACGGGATCTAAATCGATCTAATAAAGATAAAGAGAAACTTTCCAAGCATATCTATCAACTTATAGATGAGGTTAAGCGATTGCACTCAGAGTTAGATACTCTAACATCCCAGATTACTCGCAAGGATATTTCTCTTAATGAATATAAAGACAAGATTCGTACAAAACTAAAAGAGATGAAGGCTCTCCAGTCTAAGATAAAAGCATCGGAGACGAGACTATCTTCAACCCAGAAGGACTCATCTATGAAAGAATCTGAGATTGATTATCTTAGGGTCGAATTATCTGCCTTGAATTCTTCGAAAAATAGTGAATTAGAGCGCATGAAGAATATGTTAACTTTAAAAAATGGCGAATTAGAACTAATAAAAAATGATTTGGCTAAAAAAAATTCAGAGATACGCTCCTTAGAAACTAGACTCAAAGAGCTATTGCCCTGCAATAGATTATCATCAGAACAAGTCAAGATCGGAGGTAAGACAAATGAAAAAATGATGATAATATATCAGTTATGCAGTCTCCGCCAAAGGATCTGAACTCTTTATCTCTTGCAAAATATTTTGTACGTAAGCCTAGACCCGAAGGGTCATTGCTTCGCAATAAGACAGAGGATAGTCAAGTAGATAGAGATATCCAAGAATCTTTGACTCAACAAACTTTAACCAGTTTAAATGATAATATGCCTAAAGAATCAGAAATCTCTAATGAGAAGCGGATAAATAATGAGCAGGTACGAAGTAACATTTCTCCCAAAATAAGCCCAGAGTATATTATATCTAAGATAAAGAATAGACCCAAAGGGTCATTGCTTCGCAATAATAATATACCAATAAGAGAGATTGAAGCATTACCTGTTGTGACATTAGGTGCTGGCGAAGCTTTGGTTAATTATAAGTATCAGATTCCCCCTATTGTTAAGCTTGTTGCTCTTGTTATAATAACAATACTAATTATTTGGTATATATACAGGAATATTTTTCGTCCAACCAAAAAGGAAGAAAATTTTTATCCAGTATATAGAAAACAGAGTTATGGATTCCCAATCCATCATGCAAAAAAATTCAAAAATACCTCCTATGAAATTATTCCTTATGGATATAGATGAAGCTAATAAACATGAATCAATTCGAAATGTTGGACATCCAGCAATGTCATGGCCTTTCAGTAAAGTATTTACTGGTATGAGTGGTAAA